GTTGTCCGGGGGTTTGTTTAGGTCTCCCTCCCCCCCACCCCAGCCCCCCCGGCCCCTTTGTCTTACATATGTGATAGAGGGAGTGTGCCATTAATGGCTGTGCCAGGAACAGGTGCACTCTGGTAGTGTTGGGACATATGAAGTCTGCTTGGGGCAGCTGGTTCTGGTACTTCAGCACCTGGTAGATACATGCTGATCATGTCCCGAAGGTCCCCGGCTTGGCAAGGAGCCCTCGAATGAGACGAGGAGGTGACTACGGGGGGACTGGAGCTGGATTCCGTCTTGACCACCGAGCCCATGGAGCCCAGGGCCATGCCCGGGGTCCCTTGCTGGGAGTACGACATGCTGTAGGTAGGCGATCCGTTCATGTACGTCTGCGAGCTGGTCATGGAGTTGTACTGCAGGGCGCTCACGTCGTAGCGGTGCATGGGCTGCATCTGCGCCGCGTTGTGCGCGTTCAAGCCCGGGTGCTGCGGGTAGCCGAGCTGCTCTTGCATCATCCCATAGCCTCCGTTGGTCCAGCCGTTCATGTGCGCATAACTGTCCATCCTCTGGTTCACCCCAGCTCCCAAGGTGGCCCCAACCCCTACCCCGGTCGTCATGGTATTGGTGCCCGGCGCCAGTAAGCCCCCTGGCAACGTGTACTTATCCTTCTTCATCAGGGTCTTGGTTTTCCTCCGGGGTCGGTATTTATAATCCGGGTGCTCCTTCATGTGCAGAGCTCGGAGCCGTTTGGCTTCGTCAATGAAGGGTCTCTTCTCCGCCTCGGATAAAAGTTTCCACTCGGCCCCGAGCCGTTTGCTGATCTCCGAGTTGTGCATCTTCGGGTTCTCCTGGGCCATTTTCCGCCGCTGCCCGCGGGACCAAACCATGAAGGCGTTCATGGGGCGCTTGACCCGGTCCGGGCTGTTCTTCTGGTTGTTCGCGGCCGAGTTGGAGTTGCCTGTGCCTCCCCCCGAAGTTTGCTGGGGGGCGGGAGGTTTCAGCTCGGTTTCCATCATGTTGTACATTCAAACTACTTTTGCCTGGAACCAGCCCGGAGCGGAGAAGCGGAGCGGCGGCGGCGAAGTCCCGAGCCGGACTTTTTTTTTTTTTTTTTTTTTTCCTAGGGAGGGGTATGAAAGGGGGGAGGGGGACTCCCCAAAACCACACTTGGATCGAGATCAGAATCTTCCTCTTCGCTGATGGATTAATAATGCTAATAACTGCTATTATTACCGCCGGAGCTTCGGATTTAAAAAACTTCTTCCTCCTTTTTCCCTTTTCTCTGCCTGCCGCCCTCTCTCTCTCTCCCTCTCTCTCTCTCTCCACCTCGGTCTTAAAGAGCCAGCAAACTACTTTACCCCCTTTTGCAAACACACACACTCTCTCTCTCTGCCTTGACAACTCCTGATACTTTTTTGAACAAGTTAATAGACAACCATCCATGTGATGGGGGCTTGTCAGGGAATAAATGCGTTCGCCCCGGCCAATCAGCGCTCGGCGGCTCCGCCACTGAGGACAAGTCTCTACCCCTGGTTTTGCATGAAACGGGGCGGGGGCTCTCAGCCGCCGGGACGGCGCGGCGGGGGGGGGCGGGCCCAGGGCCGGCCCAGGCAGCCACTGGGAAGCCTTTGTATCTCCCCTTCCAGCAACAGGTCACACACGCCTTTTGGAGGAAGTGGGTAAACAGCATTGTTGCTACGTTGTTGTTGTTGTTGTTTTTAAAGCTGATGTTGGGAGAAGCCATAGGGGGAGCGGGAATGGCTTCCCCCCGACCCTGCGCCCCGTTGCGAAGTGTCCCCCGAGCCGTCGCCGTCCGGCCGCGTGTGCGGCGCTCGCCCCGTCCGCCGGGAGCGGAGCCCTCCGACCCGGGGCCGCGCCGCGGAGAGGAGCCGAGCGGGCCCCGCGCAGAACGGGGCCGTGCCGTGCCCTTCTCTCTCCCTCCTTCCGACCCGGAGGCGCCCGCTGGAAGCGGGAGCGGAGGACCCCCGACAGCCCTCCCCGCAGATCGCGGTGCGCGGCCTGCAGCCCAGGGACGCGCCCTCTGTGCGACGCTGGGTGGGCGCGCCGGGCGGGGGGGGGGTTGGGGAGGGGGCGGCCCGCAGGGACAAATAGGTAGTTTTGTTTCTCTTGTTGTCGCTACACGGGGCCGCACAAAGCCCCGGCTAAGTTTACTTCCACTCTCTTGTCGGGATCTTTGTTGCTAAAACGCACTTGACGACAAAGGAAGGAGGGGAGAGAAAGGGGGGCGGGAGGGGGGGCTCTTCCCGGCCCCGCTCTACGCGCGCTGCCGCGCCCCGACGGCGCTGCTTTGCCCGCGGCCGCGCTGCCCGGCAGCGCCGAGGCCCCCCGAGAAGGGCCCCCGAGCGGCGCGGCACCGCGCAGGGCCGGGTTGGGGCCGGGGCAGTGGCCGGGCGCCCCGCGAGGGCTCAGCCGCGGCACTGCGGCGCCCCCTGCCGGCGCGGTGCGGAGCGGCGGGAACCGGGGCGGGGGGAAGGGAGCCGCCGTGCTCCCCCCCCGTCCGGGTAACGCGCAGGAAAAGTGCGGCGGCAGAGGGTGCATCTCTGGATGATGCAAATAAATGCTCTCGGCTTTAACGTGTGTAATTCCGAGGCGTATATACAAGCCGGTGTATATATAACCTGGACAGAAACGACGGGTTTAAAGCGTCGGAAAAGGGGCGCGCTTTGCGGGATGCGCACACCGGCTGACCCCGCGCTCCCAGGGCCGCCAAAAGCTTTCTTATCGGTCGTGCCCGGGGCCTGCGATTGATAACAACATCCCAAATCATAATGATAATAATACAATCTTGGGGATAATGAAGTTTGAGAAGCAGGGAAGAGCGGGCGGTAGTGGTATAATAAGCGGATACCGGAGCGCGGCCCTGTGCGGGGCCGGGCCCCTTCCTCACCACGTTTATCGCACCCATAAAGGGTGGGAAATGCCCAACAACTGCGTTATCGGGCGGTATTTACAGCTTCGTTTGAACTAACCGCTTTAATTATCGACGCCATCAACTATATCTGGAGCATCTACATCATAACGCGCTCTAGAAAATGGGGTGCGGGCCGTGCGTGCTTGCTGCGCCGGGGGCGGTGGGCGCGCGGATGAACACGGCCGGACCCCGCGGCTCCGCGCACGGCGCTGGGGGAGCAGAGCGGGGCTGCTTCAGCACGAGCGGATTTATCAAACGGCTCCCTTCGGTATCATTTATGGAGATGCGAAGTGGTCGCATTAAGCAAATAGTCCGCAAATGTCCTCGGTGATGGGCTCTGCGGCACGCGCACTCTTATTTCCAGGTTATGCGTTTCTTTAAAAGAAAATGAACGTTAACGACTTGGATTTTGCGTATTTACTGCGCTAATAATCGCCGATTCTCTCTGAGCCCCGAGGATACAGCCTATCGTGTTAACTGTATCGGAAAGAATATACGCATTTTCATATTATTTTTCCGAACCTGCCAGTAACCAATCTAAGCAAAGTATTAAGCGGTCTTGTGGAGATGGAAGATTGCAGCTCCATTTTTTGTCCTTAGCTGCAAATAGAGGTTTAACTTGCAGTAATTAGGTGAGAACTAGCCAAGCATCTTACTATTATGATGCTTGTTAAAAACGCTTCTTTTCTGCATCTGCATTTGAGTGTGTTCCCCTCCACTCTTAATCTTCTTATGGAAATGAAGGCGAACGGCAGGGAACCTGCAGAGACTTAGAGAATGTCCTTGTTAACTGGAATTTCTCAGCATTGCTAATTAGCAGAGTTTGACGACCACCAGTATTGGGGAAAGCTCTGTTTAGCCACTCACAAACCCTTCCGAGGAAGAGCAGACTAATTTTATTTTGTAATTAAAATCTGAAAAGGGCCCTATTTGACAGTTAGGGCTATGAGAGTTTTATCTCCCTGTGAAATAATTACTGCCTTGATAACTCAATTTTCCGCAAAATGTCAACTGTGAGCTCCGAAAGTTTTAATTTCATTATGTTTAAAAAAAAAAAAAAAAAAAAAAAAAGCCGAAGACGAAAATGTACAGAGAAATTTCCTCTCCCCCGTCTCCTTCTGCAGAGCCGAAGTTCCCCGGGCAGTTCCGCACACGACCCATGCCCCAAGCCCTGGGGACCTCAGCTATCGAGGGCGGGAGGAACACCCTGAGTGTCCCCCGCAATCTACTGAAACCATTTCGAGTGGGTCCGAGCCCACGGAAGGGCAGGGCAGGGGGGGCTTCCGCCTTCTTCAAGCTCCCCAAATGACGAAAACGCCACATTTTCTCCAGGAAATAATTCCACAACGGTGACGGACAGACCCAGAGACAACCTGAGGGCACTTAAAAGAGGGGACAGAAAAAGAGGAAAAAAAAAAAAAAAAAAGCTCCACCAAACTTTAGAAGTTGGGGCCGAGTTCAGGGCCGGCCCGCACCCCGCCGGGCCCCGCACCCCGCCGGCCCGGGGCCACCCGCTCGGAGCGGCCCGGAGGGCGCGGGCGGCCGCTGGGGGAACGGGGCGGGGGGGGGGGAGACGACCGAGGCGCTGGAGCAAGTGTAATCCACTCTGCTTGCGTTTGGGATATTTTATTATTATTTAAAACGGTTTAATCTGCTTTTTGTCCCTGCCTGTCCAGCAAGTAGCCCGATTGTCGCTCTCAGAAGTGGCATTACACGTACAAACGATCGAGGGGGGTGAGGCACAAACCTGCGTCCAGCCCCAATTTCGCCCAATAATTTCATTCAAGGGCTCTAAGGACCCTTGAAAGCTGGGGAATGCGGAGGGAGCTCCGCGTTGCTCCCGGCGTCCCCTTTCATCCCCCTTCTCCCTAATGGAACAGCCGGGAGAGCACACGTGCGAGCGGCTCGTGGCCCCGCAAGCGCCCCGCGCCGAGCTCCGGGCCCGGCTGCGCTCCGGGGATCGGGGGGTGCTGGCGGTCCGCTCCGAGCCGCTCCGCGACCACCGCCTCCAGCAGCTCTGCTGCTACTTTGAGCGGCGTTAAGGGAAAAAAAGCAACAACACAGCGTTTAAAGAAAAAAAAAAAAAAAAAAAACAATCGAAAAGGAAATAAGAGGGAGCGGCTCCACCTTTCCTCTGTGGGACCACAAGAGAAATTTAAAAAAATAACCGTAAAGCTGAGATGATGGGACGAGTCGAACGTACACAATAAACATCAGCAAAGCCGGCTCACGCACACACACCGGCGCTCCAAGTCGCTTTCAGAAGGCTTCCAGCAAGCGGAGAGGCCGTGTGTCCAAACCTGCTCTGCTCCCAGGGCTCCAGAAACGGCCCTCCAACTCTGGCTGACTCTTCCCCACATCTAAATACCCGTCCCCGGCCCTCCATCCTGGAGCAGAGCAGAATGGAAGCCGTTATTATTATTATTTTACACGACCTTAAAAATAAAACAGAAAACCAAGCAGCAGCGGTGTGGCTGAGGTTGGGAACTGCCACATGCCATGGGGTGAGCGGCCCTGGGCTCAGGCCCTGTGCAGGCATGGCACCCCTGAGCGGCCCTTCTGGGCACTCTATTTCAAGTTATCTTTCCTTCCTAGTTTTATAAGAACAAATGAGTTTTCTTTTCCCATTGTAGTTGAATGAACTCATGTATATTAAACACAAAACCCCTCCTGAAGAACGCTAACTGCTTTGCCTAAACCCACAAAGGCACAAAAATCCAGAACTGAAGGTTTCCAGTTACTGAATAAGTCCCCTCAACTCTCTCAGGCGCGCAGGAAGGAGTGATTGGGACCTTTTTCTGAAAGTTTTAATGCCTGGAAGGGGCCATCTCGCACACAAATCCATTGTCTTTTACCAAAGCTGAGGTTTCTATTTTATTTCCCTCGTTCCCCCTCACCATCTTTCTATTGACTAAAGAAAAAAAAAAAAAAGGTGTAGAAACGCATCTGTGCATGGGATCACACGTGTCGCCCAAATCAAATGAAGTTCTCTTTGGCCCCGGAGCAGTTTTGATGGAATTATTCCGACTCCTGCATTGAATTCACTACGCTTCCCAAAGAAGCTCTTGCAGATTCAATGGGACCGCCTGAGGAACAGCCTGGGGTGCTTCAAGGTTGCACCTCAAACCCTGGAATCCCGAGGCACGGTTTGAAAAGTACATTAAAAAAAAAAAAAAAAAAAAGAAAATGAAAGAAAGAAAAAAAGCAATCTCTTCCCAGTGACTCTCAGATCACTGACACCATCGCCCATAATGGAGCCAAGACGGTGACTTTTATCTCGCTGTTCCTCATAGTCCTTAATTTGGAGCTCATTGACAGGACAGACGGTAATGACACTTTCAGAACTGTTATGGTCTGGAGTGACAATCTCTCCATCTCGCCCGTGGTTTATTGACACCATGGGCTCATTGTGACAACTTAGGCTTGCGATTTCAGAATTCTCAAGTGACGGGCTCGTTGGGGGGATTTTAATTCAAATTATAGACTAGCTGTCCATATTGTGAATTCATATTTAGACGACGCTTAATCAGAGCAGAGAGACGGTGTTATAAATAATGCCATCAGTGCTTCCCATGTGCCTATCTGCTGTCCTCCGCCCCAGGATGACCCCAGAGAGCCTTTTCAGGAGGGAGCCCGGCCACTCCCCGGCATCCCCCGAAGAGCTTAGGCCTGTGTGTGTGGACAAGGAGAGCCTGAAGGGCACATGAAAAATCTGAACCCTCAGGGCTGGGTTGGGGTGTGACGCTGCAGGGGAATGGGGCTGCTCCCAGCACCCCTCTGCCCTGGATGGGCTTGCGGCAGCCGTGCCTGGGGATGGGGGAGGAGAAAGGGAAGGGAAAGCGAGCAAACCTGCCCTGCATCCCTGTTGCTTTTAGGATTTATTTCCTCCACTCTTCTGCTCCTCGAGAGCTGGAGGAAATGCGGACACATAAAGCCTACTTCCAAAAGACATACATTAAGTAAAACCGCTCTTCACCTCCAAATGGGGACAAGTGCAGAGCTGCCCCCCCCCCCCCCCCCGGTGCCAGGTGTGTGCCACCCCCGGCTCCCTCCCGGCTTTAGGACCGACCCGCAGCTGGCACCGAGCAGCCCGGGAAGCGCTCCTGTTTTGGTTACAGCCTCACTCAACGCCCCAACTTCTGCCCCTCGGAGAGGGAACTTTACGAGCCCGTTACAGCCCCCTCAGCACTGCTGTTCTGCTGTTTCCAGGGGAGCCCAGCAGCCCCGCTCCGGGTCCGGGTTAATCATTCACACTGCTGCAGGAGTCACTGCGTTTTTTGCAAAGCCTTCCTGACGTTAGAACGTGTGTACCAACCGCTCTGGATTTTTTCCGTTTCCTGTGGTAATTGACATATAATATCTCTGTTTATAGCTGGCTTGACAGATCCATACAGATGTGTATTTTTGCTTAATTTCAGAGTTATATATACCCAACGCGCGCCGAGGGAAGAAACAGTAAAGGAAATCTGGGAATTCCGTTGTGCAGAAATCTGCGCAGGGCTCTTGCTATTATTTATAGAAAACGTGATGTCTTTATTTTGGGACACATTGGGAGTCTCAAGCTGAGATCAAACCGAGAGAACGGAGCGCAACCAACAGTGATCCTTAAAAACCCCAATTCGTACATAATGTCTAAAGAGAAAAGTTTCCTGTGAGACGCACGGCCGTAGGAATCATTTCATAGAAGAAATGCGGCATTACGACTTTCAATCAGGCTGCCAACAGGAGCGACAAAATCACCCCAATTTAGCAGAAATCATTTGGTTCCCATTAGCGTTCCCCCCCGCACAAATCGCGGTCAGTTAACACCGCACCTCGCAAACACCGCGCAGATGCCTATAAAATAAGTGGCGAATTCCTGTCCAAGTTGGCGACAATGCGGCACCTCGCATATTTTGGCTGATGGTTTTGTAACACGCAGCTTTCTTTTAAATCTGTCAACAGAGGGGGAGAAACCCCCGCTCTACGCATTCACTGAAGATAACGCTTCTCCTTTTCCAGGAATCGGGGGAGGGGGGATTATTCTGCTCTTTTTTTGGAAGGGAGGAGGAAGACGACTTCATCGCTTCGCCTTAAAATACGATATTTGCGAACATTTTGCCTTAATGAAACGGAACCGCCGAGCTCTGCTCGCAAGTAACACCTGTCAGTGCGACTTAGCGCCGGCGCCTCGGGGGGAAATCACAACCACAGCATCCGGAAGGCTGCAGCGTCCCGACAGCAACGGGAGCTGGGACGAGGGATTCGCCCAGTGCCAGCCGCTACTGCGGCGCTTAGAGCGCGGGCTGTCGGCGCGGTCCCGCAGCAGCAGCACACTGGCCGGGCGACAGCGGCATACGGGGACACTTCTCCGGGGACGGGGCTTTCGGCAGCTCCGCTCACACGTACGTCGGCGGCGTTATGTCTAATGACCGTACATCCACACAGCTCAAGCTGGAGGAGGCTTCCCTTCCCGTGATTTCCGGGCTCTGTCTCACCTTGCCCATCCCCACCTCCCCACCCAGCACCGCCGGCCCGGGGGGCTCCGCTCCGCTCCCCGCCGAGCCGCAGTTTCTCCGCCGGGTCCCCGCGGGCGGCTCCGGGCGCGGCCGATAGGGGGCGCCGCAACCCGCGCTCAGCGCCGCCTCCCGCCCGGCGCGGCCCCGGAAGAGGGGGAGAGCCCGGAGCGGAGCGGGGTCGAGTGCGGATCTTCAGGCTCGGCAGATAAAAGAGATTAAAGGCTAAATTCTCTCTCACTCTTTTTTTTTTTTTTTTTTTGGTAGCAATTTTAACCAACCACGAAAACGCAGAGCTTTTATCCTTTGATGTGTCTCAGAAAGAAACTGTTACATCAGTTGTGAAATTATATCGTTTCGGAGCCGGCCGTGGAGTGGGAAAATAATTTAATTAAAAATAATCATAATACGAAGACCCGAGCTTCCGCTGAGGCACTTAACGGCTGACACAAACCCTCCGTCTCGTCTCTCCCAGCGCTCCCGATGCCGTTGCACGGGAGGCATTAAACCCACATAACCCGGCGGGTCGGGGCTGTCCCCTCGGGGCCACACAAAGCAGCGCTCGCCCCGCGGCACACGGTGCTCTCTGACCACATTAAGCAGAACTAAAATGGTACCCGGGTGCCCACTTTCCCCCCGCTACAAAAACTCTTCACCTGTATTTAAATAGCACGTCTTTAATTACAGCGGTTGGGGATGTATGAGGCTGAAATGAAATTAGCAGTCATTACCAGTCCTTTAACTCCGTGGTGCTTTTGATCAGCACTAAATTAGCTTTCCAGGCCTAACAAAGGCTCTATAGCAAGCAGTGGGCTGTAAATAAGACAGCTCGACCTGCCCTCAACACCTTTTCTCTTGTCAATCACAGCTCTATCATTCAGCCCAAGATTAACCTTTATCTACCAAATTCTTACCCCAAAAATCAGAGGAGGGGGCGGAAGGGCGAAAGGGGGAAAACCCAACCTTAACTTTGCTACCTGTAACTAAAAAGAGCCTCCCTTTAAGCGGCATTATAATGACCCAAAATGTCAAAATCGATCATTCCCAGCCCAAATCGCAGTGCACCAGGAGGCAGCGATAGGCGCAGGCAGTGACACGCATCGATCGACTCGCAACTTCCCCTTCGCCCATCGAGGGTTCTGCCAAGGGACGCCCCGCGTCTCTTCCGTCGTCCACGTACCCCGTCTCCCAGCGCACGGTTCTGCACGGATCCCCGCGCGGCCGCAGACCCCCCGGCGTCCCCCCTTTTCCCGGGAGCGGCCCCGGAGCCGCCGCGCCGGGGGGGAGCGGGGGGAGGGTGCGGGCCGCGCGCCGCCGGCAGGGGGCGCCAAAGCGCAGGCGCCGCAGGCGCCGCGCCAGCGCCGCTGCGCGCCCGTTGCGCGCCCAGGTAACTCCCGCAGCGCGGCCGCCCCCGGCCCCGCGGAGCGCCTCGGCCGCCTCCCGGACGGCGCAGAGCAGCGCCGGCGTGACTCAAACGACTGCCGCCCCGCAGCGCAACCTGCCCCCGCTCTGCGGCTCGTCCCGAGGGGCACCGCCGAAATAGCAGCCCTGGCCGAAGCGGCCCGCGGGGACCCCTTGGTCCGTACGCGCCGGCGTAGGGGCGGGCGGCGCGGGGCGGCCTCGGGCGGCTCCGCTCCTGCCCGGCGCTCCGGTCGCAAAAGCGGCTGCCGCGCAGTTGAGGGCAAACCCAAACCCGCGCACGAGTCCCTCAGTGTAACGCCGTCGAGCTCGGAGCGGCGGGCGTTAAGCGGCAGCGGTATTTCTCCATCGTTTTAAAGGTCACGGGGGAGGAAGGGGGAACGCCATGAATGTCAAAGTTGTGGTGCAGTACTTACATGTCGGTGCCGGCGCAGGGTGGTGGCGGTTAGCGGTTTGATTGGCAGCTTAGAGCGAAAGTCCGCGCGGACTCCTGAGCCCGAGTCAGCCGCGGGGCTGGGAGCACTTCTCACCGGACAGAGGCAGCTGCAGGCAGCCCGCACGTCCCCGCTCCTCTCCTCCTCCAGCCAGGACGGAGAATGAATCCATTTCGGCTTTTCTTCCCCCGGCTCTCCTTCCGTTTGCCTACACATCCTCCAAGTCCTAGCCCTAGCTTTTAACTGCGGTCCCTGGAACAAGAGGGGAAAAAATCGTTTATGGCTTAAAAAATCCAAATGGCTGATTTTGTGTGTGTTATAAGAATGCACCCACGACAACAAAAAAGTCACTTCTCTGTCCCCCACCGTACAGCAGAAGAATAATAAAAAAGCTTTATATTTTTGCAGTGGGTATTCAAAGATAATTTGATGCCATTGTTTCTGCTACAGATGGTTCTTTTTAATACAATAACACTGCTCTTTGTGCATACTACACACAATAAAAATCGAAAGCGTTCTCTTGAATAACCATTTTGTTCTCGCTTGTATACAGGCCAACAAAAGCTGCCGTGAGGTAATGGGTTCTGTTTATTGAAGCCATAGAATAGAGGTTTGATAAAGATTTTTGTATATAGGGAGAAAAAAAAAATTAAAATGAAGACCTCGCAAGGTCGAGCCGATCCCCGCGTATTTACTACTACTGAAATATTTTATCAATATATTTCTTTGACTTGCAGCTGCAGGGTTCCCCCCACCTCCCCCCACCCTCAGCTCAGCCCAAACATTTCTTTCTCCGAACGTGGGGAGCTCCGCAGCCGCAGCGGCCCCTCCGACCCGGACCGTGTGGCAGAGGAGCCGCGAGAAGCGGGGCCGAGCAGCGCGGGTGCGCATCTCTGCGCGCGTTGTTCGGCGAGCTGCCGTCCCCCCGCAGCCCGGGAGCGGCTCCCGGCGTGGGAACGGGGCCGACCTCGTTCCGTCGGTTCCCCGCTCGTCCCCGCACGCCTGGAGCCGCAACGACCTGCGGCCGCCGAGCCGCGGCCCCGGGGCGCGCCGTGCGGGTGGAGGCAGCGAACTGCAGCGGAGTTCTCGTGCCCCGCCAACTTTGCGCCGAGAAACGAATACACGGGCAGCGCTCCCAGGGAAAATGGATAGCGCGGAACCGGCGAGAAGCGCAGCTGGGAAATGCTTTCCCCGGGTCCGGAATCGCGCGCCCGAAGCGCTGCCCGCTGCCCGCTTCTCAATGCGGTTGAGACTGTAGCGAGCAGAGGAGAGCCCCGAAGCCAAAGAAAGTGCTTAGACAATGGGGCTCTGCGGGAAAGTTGTTAGGCAGTGCCTGTGTTTGTCTACCTTTCTATAGGAATTAATGCCACAGTGCTCTGTGCCTCTGTAGCAGGGGCTGACAGTAATCCACCTCTGTGACTTCTGCCCTTTGTGTTTTCACAAAACTCGGCTCACTTGTAGCACGACAACAGCACGGAATAATGACTTTAACCTTCAAACATTCTTTAATTAGCTTTTTCAGCAGACGCAAAGATGCCCAAATGAGCCCTTTGACAAAAACTGACCCACGCCTTCCAATTCTACTTTCACTTTTGGGACTAAGACGTTATTGGTTCCCAACTCGTCTGAAGTCATCTAATAAGGGATTATTTAGGAACTATTACCCACACGCCAATTAAAGCCTCTCCGATGAAATTCGGGAGACAAAGATAAGCATCAAAACGGAAAATTAAACTATTTGCGCATAGCTTGTTTTTCAACAACCCATTTTCTATCTCAGGATAAACATCTTCGTGCCGGCTCGCCCCAGCCGAGCGGGGAGGGAGCGGGAAGCGGCGCCGAGGCGGCTCCGAGCGGCCCGGGGGCGGCGGCCGCGTTCCCTCCGCTCCCCGCACGGCCGCTCCGATCGGCTCCGGGCCTCTCCGGCCTCCCCGTGCCGCCCCCGGCCCCCAGGCCCCGCTGCCGGCGGATGGAGGCACTGCTCTGCCCGGGCTTAGCGCCCAGAGGGCAGCGGAGCGCACACGAGAGAACTGCTATCACTGCACCTCTAAGCGCGAAGGAAAGAAACATCAGTGGCATGAGAACCCGAACGTGCCAAAGTTGGGGAAATCGTGCAAGTGCTTTCCTAAACACTGGGCAACATTAGGGAAGAAAGTGCCGCTTCAGTAGAAGAGGTATTTTGTTACTCACAGCGGTGAAGGAAAGGGATTAGTAGGAAAGGCGCGTTTCGCTACCTATAGAGGTGCTTTGGGTTAAATGGGAACCGGGCTCTGAGCAGTTTAATGCGGACTTAGCGAGGAAAGATGATTTTTTTTCAGACAAAGCACCCCGATGGCTCAGAAATTATACGTCGTTCTTAACAGCTGCATACAGCTCTTGGAGAGAGTTTCCGAGCAAATTACAGCAGCGTCCTACAACAAGCTGACAAAGGGATTCCGGGAATGCCAAGCACCGAGGAGGGAAACACGAATCACTCTCTTTAGCCCGAAGCACGAAATTGGCTTAAAGCTCATTTTGCTGATAGCCGGAAACGAAATCATCAGTGCGTGGGACCGGGAGGCTGCAACCTTCAGATGCGCGGGATCAACGTGTGCCACTTCCTCGGGGACGGCGGATAATCAAGAAGCAAAAAAGAAGGAAAACGCGTGAACCACGGGTTGGAAGGGCTCTGAGGGAAACTCACATCCCAACACGCCTTTCTCGCCCCGCACGGCACCGATACACGTAAGCTGTGTCCCGAAACCGCTCCCACGGGACGGGGAATTGAATGTCACAGAAGCACAGAGTGGTATCACGCGCCGGATTTCGGCTTTCACAATTCACTTAAGACTCGAGAAAACAGAACGGAGCAAAGCACCCGCATCTAGCAGTACAGATGAAATAGCAGATAACTCCAAATTTCCGCAGCAGATCCCTATCTTATCTGGTAGCGGATCCCCGAGCGGTGAGGATTTGCCCAGGGGCGCTCTCCCTTAGAGGCGCTGAGCGACGCCCGACGCACCGCCGCGCCCGGGGAGCGAGCAACTCCCGGAGCCGGGCCGCCCCGCCCGGGCCGAGCAGGGCCCCGCACCAACGAACATCTCGAACATCCCGGCACCAGGCGCGCTCTGCCCGCCGCCCGGCTGCAGAATGCGCGCTCCCGGCGCACACACGGACGCGCTCTGCTCGCCGCTGGCTCGGCTCGGGACGCCCACAGAGAACGCGCGGCCGTCCCGCAGCCGCTCCCCGCGCCCCGAAGGACGGGCATGGAAGTGCCCGAAAGGAGCCCGGGCCGCGGGGCCGCTCACTCGCGAGTCCTTTCACTGCGTTTCCCTCTTTTCACCAGGGAAAGTTCTCCGGTGCGATCGCTTCCATAAGTTCTTGGCAGCACGCTTTCAACTAAAGCACGTTTGGGTTTCTCTGTCCCCAAAGCGTGCAGGGCAGCTCAGCGGGATTCACACCCGTCCTACGGACACACGGTCCTTCCAAAAGCTTCCCACCACCTCACGGTGCTAAAAGAACATCTGTGAAGTACCGAAGCAGTTTGTTTGTTTTGTCCTGGGATACGACAGTAAAAAGCCCGCTTAACTGCAAGCAAAGAACACGCAGACTCCTGAGGAGCCGCAGGTTTGCAGGGCGGGCAGGCCCTTCGCTGTGCCGAAATGTACGTGTGAGCTTCAGATGTGTCTCCGAAATCTGGAGACTTTTCAGTTTTTTTCCCTCCCTGTGAGCGCTCTAAGAGATCTGAAATTGTTCATTCATTATCTCAACACTGACTGCAATATTTTTGCTGCCAATTGCTATGGATAGCTGCAGTGCCAAATACGCCTTTACTGAAAGATGAGCACAGAGCAAAGGATGCATTTCTCCTACGAAATATTCTGTTAGCACTTTGCTCACACATCTCAAGGACTCAACATCTTCCTTTTTTCAGTCCTCAGATGGCAACTTTCTCTGGAGTTGGGCTCCTTTCACGTTCTGAAGATGAATTTGTCACGGAACTTAGACTTGTCTGCAATAACTGACACCTTCCGGTGTACGAGATGGCAACGTATCACAAACAGATTGATGCTGAAAATACTCTGGCAAATAACAACAGTAATTCAAAGCAATTTAGATAGTCAGTGCGTGTATTTCTGCATACAGTAGGCACGTGCTTCACATACCTGTACATATGCTACACACTGTGACAGCACACAGTCTATATATGCATGGCACACAATAGCTGGCATTCAGAGGACTGGGGCTTTCTGCCCACACACTTTCTGCATGTCTGTGGGATATGCATGCGTTCTTACATCCTAAGTCATAAGAGATCATTCTGAATGCTGAATTCTGAACATATTGCTGTGAGTAAGGTGGCAATCCCCAAACCACATGAGGTCATTTCACAGTACCCCTGTCCCATTACACGCTCATTGCTGCTGTCAGCAGCCTGGGACTGTGAAGGGACAGAGCCAACCTTGGCAGGGGGCTTCCAGCAACACCCAGAGAACAGTTTCCTGGCACTGCGCTGCCTGGCACTTTGTCTTGTCATCACTCACTTCAGCTGCAATGTCAATTTGGAGAGGTTATTTTCTCTGTGGCTTCTGTATGGTTTCAGGTAGGCCCTCATCATCACCACCTCATCACAGGGACAGCTGCTGATCTTTAACCCCATTCCCCACAGCCTGCTATGAGCAGTGACTAGGAGACTCCGTGACTTAAGGAGGTATGATCAGTTTATGAGGAACCACCCAGACTTAGAGAGTCTCAGTGCAGCCATCACAGGACTCGAGACAGCAATGAGGGTCCAAGGTGGGCCAGAATACACTGTGCTCAACACTGTGCTCTGAACGTGGGCAATGAGTATGAATCCCTCCATGCAATTTGAAACCCTCTGCCAGCGATACAGGGTAGCAGCTCTGGACAGGTCAAAAATCCAGCTGAGGGCTATTTAGGAGAATGTTAACAAATGAGGATATGCAGAAATGAGGGATATCTGCTTGCAGCAGGAAAAGGGCAAACAACTCACACTGCATCTGGCACGGAATGAAAAAGTGTACAACGGATTAGATATCAGCCACTACTATCAAATCCATGCCCAGGAACCTAGGGGGAGGGAAACACGGAAGAGCAGATGCTTAGAAGGTAAAACACCCCAATTAACCTCATTATCTTTTACAAAACTGTACTATTAATATTCAGGGGTTTTCAAATTACTGTTGTTGTTGTTGAAGAGAATCTGTTGACTGCAGCATGTGTTTTGTGTTTTGCTGTACTCTCCCAGATCA